CTAATCCTGACAGTAGCCAGAAACAAATGCAGCAATTATATTATAACATGTTTATAACATGTTATTAACATGTCAATAGATTGTTTATAGCTATTATATAAACCATGGCCTTTTTAATTAGCACAAATTAAACCACAGCCACAAGAAACAACATATTTAGAGAGTAATTAGCACAAATAATTAAACTGTCTATCTGACAAACTATAAACAAGAGGATAAAAAAGTTGAAATAGAGATTAAGCGTTGTCCCAGGAAGAAATAACAAACTATATTTGTAATGAGAATGTAGAACAGGCTCTTTGATCTACTGTATATGGAGTCATATGTTTGGTTCATACCTTGATGTATCTCTTGCGGTTGACATACATGTGGATCAAGGAACGGAATTTGATCAGGCTTGCTCTCATTTTCACATAACGTTTTCTGTACAAAAACACAGGAAAATGTTTTAAGGAATTCAGTTTTAATCGTCTGGTCTTAGCTCTGGTCTCTGAAAAATAAATTCATGCTTTGAAAGATTCGGATGCTCAAAGTACCACTAAATTTCCAAATCTTAACATTTTCAAAAGTATTCGATTTGTAGTTCATTTTAGTTTACACTAAGCATTAAAGAAGTCCAGCAAAACATGTCGGTATAATTGTAGAATGATTTTTTAAAGGTTTTCTAAAGGTTTGCTCTTTATTTCCTATTTACAAAATGAATGCATTTAAAATAAATGACAAAGGTCCAGTATAACTCAGACCTGCAGTATAAAAGTTGAATAAAAATGTCAGGGGAAAAAAACAAAACCGATAATGCAGAGCACTCACTGTACAAACATCCATCTGTGAAATGAATACAAATGACTACCTCCAGTGGAGACGTTTAACTGTTTGTGGACATGCTACAAATGTGGATCCCACCTGAAATAAACATCTCTATAAAAGTGTCTCATAAAAGGAGGCAAAGACATAAAATAGTGATAAGGGACAAGTTAAGTTTAATTCCATGCTGATAAGAGAAACAAAGAAATGCAACGTTTTGGCTGCGGAGCCTTCCTCACGTGAAACGCTGTGCTTCTTTTCTTCTCTGATCAGCATGGAATTAACCTTTTCTTGTTCCTTTGCAACCTACGCATGCTGATGCAGCTACCCACTTAAAACAGTGATAGCTTATTCATAACTGCTTGCACCGATACAGTGTCTTCCAAGGTGCTTACAAATAGGAGGGGGCCTACTTTGTCCTCCTCTGCTGAAGTACAGTACACCCACCTGGGTGATGTGCAGCTTCTATGCTGCGCCAGCAAGCCCAGAAGCACAGCAGATCAAGGGGAGAAGTGAGAAGTCACTTCACCGTCTGAAGTTAGGTGGAACTTTAGGGAGGCCAGATTGTCCAGTCCCAGAGTGGAATTTAGCCAGGACTCTGAGGTTAACATGTTCAGTCATTTAATAAATTCACTGGGTCCATGAAAATATTTTTTTTTCCTCCAGACAAAACAATAACACCGTATTTTTGTAACA